TAGTTTGGAAAATATTTATTTTTATTGCTCATCGATTACAATATTATTTAAAACAATAATCAAATCTTAAAAATATACAATATAACAATATAGTTAACAAAATTGATTGCGATGAATGATACAAAATTAAAAAATACAAAATATATTATTTTCCTAAACAGGTGTTGATGTATAGGAAGTCTTTCGACTTCTGTGTGCCTTAAATGTAAAAAACAAGATAAAAACATTTTAGTTATTACTGTTATATTGAATAAAATACGTTTTTTTCAATAGTTTTATTTGCAAATAGACCTACACTTCGGTTATTATTGATCGCATTGTTATAGAAATAAGTGTTGTTGGGATTCACTCGCATTGTGTCCAATGGATAAGACATCTCATATTGTCTCGACTTTTGCGATGCCTACCAACGCAGGGATAGATAGATATTTTTGTGCCGTTATTTCAATACAAAATAAATACACCCAAAAAAGTAAGAGGAATTCCTTACGGTCGGCGACCAGTGATTCAAATCATCAGTCAATCGGAAAGTTATGTCTCTTTGAGTGTTGAAATCGATGTAATTATTTTGGTCGTAGAGATCGTTGCCGTCCTCCTGCACCTCAATCTCGTAGACTTCATAGCAGTTTCTGTTATACTTATCAGAATTTGTATCATTCATGTAATCTGTTTTAAACAGAAATACAATTTAATTTCACTTAAAAATTAATTTTTGTGATGTTTTTTCAGGACTCACTCGAGGGTCTCATGGCATGGGATTGGGAGTAATCCTGAGGCAGAACACCGTTCTGGTAGTTCTTGCGCTCATTCACGTCGTCCATGTACTCAATGATCTCATCCGACTTGTCCTCATTGTCCTCATCGTCCACTTCGGAGGACATTGTTTGTCGAAACTTACGTAAAATCTTACAAAATAGTATTACGAGTATCGTTATGATCGCCAAAATGACCGCGATTATCACAAGTTTCTCTATCAGACCCTCCGATTCGGTGTCTGATTGCGGAATTACTACCCGACAAAACAAAACACCAATCATTAGCCAAAGTATCTCACAAATAGTCACAAACTTTGGCAAACCTGTTGAAGGTATGGGAAGTGCGTTGGTTTTGGCAAACAATAAAAACGGTTCACTCTTTCCCTTCACGTTAATTGCATACACTTTGATATTATAGTTAGTATCGGATTGTAAAGCACTTAATTCAAATGATGAGACCATGCTGTTTGTAAGGTTAAGCACTAGTTTATCATCAATTTTCTCGTACACTTCGAGACCGAAACTTTGCTGTAGGCCGCCGTCATAGCCGGGCAAACAGTTTATCGAAAATGATGTAAAACCTTATGATAAGATTAAACATCATTTAAGGGATATATTAATATATTTGTACGCAAAATACACACCAATATTAGATGCATCACATTTGATAACAGTTTCCGGTTTCCCTAAACACGTATTAAGATTTCAATTATAGTTACATTCAATAGACAACAGTACCATAGAGTAGGACAGGGATGTGACATATATATATATATACCATACCGGCGGGTATAATGGTGTAGACACAAGGCGTTTGTTGAGTGCCCACCACATTGTTGGCCCGACACGACACGTACCCGAAGTCGTCGCGGGTTTTAGGCGTATAGGAAAGGGAGCTGCGGAGGCCTTCGCTGAAGAACTTGAGATTCGGGTGATGGGTGTCGTTGAACGTCCACTGGAACAGCACTTGCGGGGGTCGGGCGTCGATATCACATAGTATTTTGGCCGTTTCGCCCACACCTATGCCGTACACGATTTTCTGGCCACTTCGACATACCGGTGCATCTGACAC